ATTGAAGAACAAAACGACAGCAACTTGTCTGTTCCCCTTCCCCCAATTCCCCATCACTGTTCCCATCCCCCCAATTACCCAATAAAAATCTTAAAAAAAAAAAAAAAAAGAAATGGACAAAGCCTCATTTCAGAGGGACTAGGGCTTAAGGAAGGTCAGCCGAAGAGGGACCAGGAGAAAAGTACAGTGAGCAGAGCTGGGACATGAGGTGAAGGTCAAGGTAAGACCTGCAGTGACTGCTTGTAGGAGACAATGGGACTCATTTCTTGGGGCAGGAGGGTACAGAGGTGCTAAACTGCCAAATATCTCAGGCTTTGCCCCCCAGGAGCACAGATGCCATTACAGTCACATCCTTGCCTGCATCTCAGTGGCTTCTAACCACTCATTCTCACCTAGCACTCCCCCAGGGGATGTGGGCAGGGTCACAGCCCCTCTTGGCAAGCAGTTTAAGGGAGAGGCTGTGCCACAGTCCTCCTGAAGTCCTCCCCAAAGCCTTGTAGGTCCCTTGGATGTGAGCTCCATTGGCTTTCAAAGCTAGGTGTTTTGGGAGCCCAGCCCTCAGCTGGGAGTCTCAAGAATTGGGGTACTGGATGTGTCCTCAGAAAGAAGCTGAGCGTTTAAGGTTCCCTCCGGATTGTATGGCGCTGTGCTGAGGGTGGTGTTTATGGCGAGAGGGTGGCTTAGCTTTTTCTTATAAAAATAATACGGTGTGGGTATTTCCTGTCTTGCTCAATGTGTAGGAGTCATTCAGTTGGTTTCTGGATTTTTTTCAGAAGGAATTGCTCTGTGTGTAGCTATACAGTCCATGTGTCTGTGAAAGGGAGGACGTACAGAAGCCTCCTATGTTACCATCTTGGTTGCAAAAACAAACAAACAGAAACACTTAATTTTTCAATAAGAATAAAACATATTACTCATGGTCTTCAAGAACCAGTATCAACGATTTCTGGGCCAGTCGCCCAGAACCTTAAGTACTCAAGTTTTAAGGCTTCTTTAAGGGCATGTGGGATCGCTGATCGTCCTGTGCGCTATGATTTTTCCACCAGGATCCACTCAAGACCTCATTACAAATTACCTTCAAGTTCTTTCAGGTGGTGATATTGTCAGTAAAGAATTCAGCCAACCGAGCCAAGCTCACTGGGGTGTAGCACAGCAGGGAGGAGGAATATAATTCATCTTTCTTCTCTTTGCTAGGTGCAGATGCATTAATTATAGTTCCCAGAGAGCTGTTCCTTTTTGCTTAAAATAGTATCAAATTTTCCATCCAAGTCTTCTATGAATAGAGGCAATGCGAGTTGACATTAGGACAGAGCTTTGGAACCTGGGCATGACACAGTCTCCCTTTGGTTCTCTGCAGGATTCAATCAGCTTGGGTTCTCAGGCCTTAGTTTGTCCTCTGGAAATGACATACACTCATTCATTGACTTCAGGAGGTTTTAGGGAAATTATTTAAAGAGCATTATTTTAAAGTGCTGAGTCATTCAAGCAGAAAGCAATGGATGTGAGGGAATTGGGGGGAAGAAATCCACGTAATATGAATTGAGTTATTTCTTGGATCTTGAGATAAGATACAGAATGATTTTTAGGCTCAGAATCATGTCCATTGCAAGGCTCGACTTTTGGAAAAGAGCTATCATTCATTTCTACATCTGGGAACTTATGTGTGGGAGTGTGCTTCTTGGCCCTGCTCTGAGATTTAAGTGATATTTGAGTCCCAACTCAAAAGAACCTCATTTTATATATAAGGATCATTTAAGCTCCATATGTAAATTCTTAGATTATTTTTGTGAGAAGAGACTGGACAGTTTACCTCGAGATAAAAGCTCAATGCTTTGGAGTACAGTTTTCTCATAAAGTAACCCATGTCTTTATTTTTTCCTGCAGCCAAAACTGTGTGGAGATTTACCCCATATTCATAATTACATTGTGGACGGCTGGATGGTATTTCAACCAAGGTAATTTAAAAATACAATCAACTCTGTTCTAATAAGGTTTATGGTTCTCAGAACTATTAAGGGCAGACAAGCAACCACACATCTATGGATCCTGGAAATTGTTTTAAACAAAATATGCAATGTCTGTGTATATCAGAGTACTGTGCTACAGATAGGCTAACTTCGGTTTCATTCTAATTTAATTCAGTAATTACTTTTAAAATTTGGAGCAAACTGAACATTGGGCATTTCAGAATGAAAAATGACATGAAATTTGTCTACAGATCTAATTCTCTAAAGTTCTAATTTATCTGCAGGAACAGAACACAGAATTAACAATTCACCCTAATTATTATAGCTTATATTTCTTGAGCACTTACTATGTACCAGGCACTTTCAAGCTTTACACATGTATTATCTCATGTACAGGGTTTATATAGAACCTACCTACTCCTGCTTTGCAGATGAAGAAACTGAAGTAGAGAGAGGTTAAGTAATTTGTCCAACTTTTCATTCACCAATGTAGGAGAAAATTAGCTTTCAAGTACAGAGCAGGGTCTGTTAATATTTGACCCAACAACCATTGTACCTTTTCTCAGTTTTCCAAGCATGTAGTGCTATTGTTTGTAAGCAGCAACTCTACACATGTGCTCTTTTTAAAATTTTTGAATTACAGTTGACATTCAATATTATTTTATATTACTTTCAGGTGTTCAGCATAGTGGTTAGACATTAATATAATTTATGAAGTGATCCCCCCAATTAGTCTAGTACCCACCTGGCATAATAACTATACATAGTTATTACATTATTATTGACTATATTCCTTACACTGTACTTTATATCCTCATGACTGTTTTATAATTACTAATTTGTACTTCTTAATCCTTTCCCCCTTTTCACCCTATAAACATGTACTTTCTGTTTGACTGGGGCATCCTTAGTGAGCTGAGGGCTTTACCCAAACTCTGCCTGTCCCTTTCACAGGGGGTCAGACCAGCACCAGCTACCTTAGTTCGAGAAATATAATCCCTTTGACTTTCTGATAACTCTGCTTGCCTCCTTTGGGTTTGACCCTTGATGGCTAAGACTTAAATAAAGCCAAATCCAGCTGCTTCCAAAGGCAATCCTATCATCTTCTTCTTGTAAATTTTACTATCAACTGAGGAATTTTAGATTAAATGTCCTTGAGAGAAACATTTCTTTATTCCAACTCACACTTTTGTCCCTTAAGGGCACGAATGAAGGTGGCGTTCCTTGTCAGGTGAGACGCATTGACAACTAATAAGAAAAGTGCCTCTTGGTAATGGGACTCAGTCTTCGCCTTTCCATCCTTTGGATTTCACTGTGATGGGCCAACTGCCTGTCAGGAAAGGATTTCTCCAGCATCTTATGATTTCCTCTTCGTTCTTTCTCATCCGAAGCTAGTTGCCTACTAACTGCCCCTGCACAGTTCTCATTGGCTTTATGGGAGTGATTCATTAGATAGGGATTTTCAAGACGGTGGCATGCTCCGACCCTCTCCAGTTCCTCAGGCGCAGGTGGCCTACCCCCTCTTCTTCTCCAGCTCTGCGCTTGGCCCCCTCCTTCCCATCCTTCAGGCCCCAACGCAAATGTCATCCCCTCAGAGGCGCCTTCCCTCACCCCTTTGTAAAGGCGACCTCTTCCAGTTGCCACGGTCCTATCCTTCTTTATTTCCCTCACTGCATTTTCAAATCATTAATTTTCTTCTTATTTCTCTCTTTGTTTGTTGTCTGTCTTTGCTGATGAACTCCATAAAAGCAGGAGCTTGTTTTTATTTCACTGCTAACCCCAACCCTTAGAATAATACCTGGTATACAGTAGAAACTAAAGGGAAGATGTTTGTGACCTAATGACATAACGAATTTAATTCTATCTAGCATATCACAGATAGACCCCACATGTGTACAAGAGGTCTCTGGCAATTTGCATCTGTGAGGTGCTGAGGAAGAGAGAGAGAGGGTTCCTCATGTAGTGAAGATATTGGTAGTTTTCTTTGGACAGTATAGCAGAACATCACACCACACTTGACATTTCTTTTAGGTAAAACTTGTTTTGAAAGAAATCCACAAATCTTGTGTACCGGTTGATGAGTGTTGACAAGTGTATACACCTGTGTGATCCAAGTTCCTATCAAGATATAGAACCTGACTACCAACCAGAACATTTCCTCATGTCCTTGCCAGTCAGCCACTTTCAGAGGCAAACACTGGTCTGATTTTTTTCATCATAGTTTTGCCCATTCTAGAACTTTCCATAACTGGACTCATCTAGTATGTGCTCTTGTGTAATGCTTCCTTCACTCAGCAAAATGTGTTTGAGACTCACTGTGTTGTTTCAAGTATCTGTTTTCATTGCCGAGTGATACTTCACTGTCTGCCTATCACAGTTTGGTTATCTGTTCTCCTGGTGATAGACTTCTGGGCTGATTCCAGTTTTTGGCTATAGTGAATAAAACTGCAACGAACATTCTGTACAAGCCTTTTTATGGACATGTACTTTCATTTCTCTTGGGTAAATACATAGGAATGGAATTGCTGGGCCAAAAAGTATGTTTAGTTTTGTAAGAAACTACCAGGACTTTTCCCAGAGCAGCTGTATTATTTTGCATTCTCACCAACAATGTCTCAGGAGTTCAATATCACCAACATTTGGTGGTGTCAGTCTTTTTAAATTTGAGCCATTCTGGTGGGTGTGCAATGGTGTCATCTCATTGTGGTTTTAAATCACAGTTTGCTGATATTGACGGAGGTTGAATAATGTGGAAAAAATTTTCATGTGTTCATGGCTCCATTTACATTTTCCTATGTGAGTCGTCTATTCATTTTGCACACTTAAAAAATTGCATTGTTTTCTGTCATTATTGAGCAGTTGGCGTTCTCTTTATATCCTGGTCACAAGTGTTTTTGTCAGATACACGTTTTGTGAGCATTTTCCTTGTTTTCACACCACATTTTGAGAGACTGCCATCAAATTCTGTATCTTCTCTATTTTTCCTCTATAGTTTTTGCTACTTGTCTGGCTCTGGTGTATATGTATGCCCGTCATCAGTATTTCTGGGGCTATTCAGAAGCTGCTAAGAAAAGGTAAGGAGAAACCAAGAACTGGGTGTGTAGGCAAAAAGTAGCAGGATGGAGTCTGAACTCTTTCCTGTTCCTGAGAGTATTAACAGCCCTGATGGCTGTGATGGGAAAAGTGATCTCTGTTGTCTGAGGCCAAGTCTCACCAGCCCACACACAACTGGGCGTGAGACGGGAAAAGGCAAGTATAAAAGTGTGCACTAAGCGTGCGCTCTTTGGCCACCACATTTTAAACTGTTGCAAAAATTTTGCACCATCTCCAAAAAGTTACCAAGGAAATCATCTTGCCCAGCCTTAATAGTCCTTTGGATGTTCAAAGGAGCCAGTTAACCTCTGTGGTTGGCATCCCCTTTATGTGATGACTCAAAATCTTCAAATGTCAAAGCCATGGAAGTTCTGGGTAGTGTCACCAGTGAGCGGGCTACCCCAGGACGTCCCCGCTTCAGCACTGTAGCCTTTTATCACTTCTCTCCCTCATCCGCCCTGCAGGATCACTGGGTTCCGGCTGAGTCTGGGGGTTTTGGCCTTGTTGACCGTCGTAGGTGCCCTGGGGATTGCAAACAGCTTTCTGGATGAATACCTGGACCTCAATGTTGCCAAGAAACTGAGACACTTCTAACTTTCCCCTTACCGTTGCTCCAATGCTTGCAGATGACGTTTCTACTCTGAAGGTTAGCCATATGGTATCACTTGTTCAATTAAAAAGTAAAAGTCTTTGTTTTGTTTTTCTTGAACCGGTTTTGTAGGAACACACACTTTAGAGAATACATTCCCTGTTTGTTTAAGAGCTGAACGTTTGCTCTAAGGGGATGTATCCATAACATCCGTGGAAGCCTGCTGAACCCAGGTTTTAGAAGGGCTTGCTGAAGTCGTGACTGCTGCGACTTTCTGTGGACCACAGCCATCACCCGCCTCTGAGACTACTTCCCTCTCTTGATGGAAAGTTCCAGACAGACACTGATAAGGCAACCGAGCCCATCTCATTGGTGGCAGGAAAGCAACAGATGGGGCTGCATGGGGGTGGGAAAGTTAGGCAAACACACAGAGTAAGTAGCCAGAGAGTCAGCAACTAATAGCATAAAATAAATCTGGCTGTGAAATGGACTTGATTAAGAAAAAAGGAAAAAGAAAGAAAAGGCATTCCGTTTTAAGGAGCCATGCAGACCTCTGCTTTGTGAACATCTTGCCCCTGGCTGGGGAAGAAGGGGCCATGGTCATGGCTGGAGGACCAGGGCTGTGTCTAGAGGCACCACCTGTGTCACGTGGGGCTTGGGGCCGGTGGCTGTTGTGAACCTATGCGCAGTCACTGGCACAGTGGCAAATGACCTTCCCTCACTTTCTTCACCCATAAAATAGGAATGAGTCCACCTCACAGTCCTCAGGGACGCTAGGAAAATGGAATTATGAGCATATAGAACCCATTTTAACACCAGAAAAAGAGCTCTCCGTTAATCTTTCCAAAGAAAGTTGGCCAGCCTTGAATCTGGTGTGGGCATCTTCAAGAAGCTGTTCAGTGATATGTCTCTTTTTTTGTGTGTGAGCACAAAGGAAGTTACAAAGGCTATAAATAATAGAAAGAGAAATGAAGGCATTTAAACACCAGCGTTCCCAGAATAGGAGGAGAGAAACATGACAGCCTCGTGCATCCCAAGTACAAGTACTAAATATCCCAAACTACTCTGAAAACTTATTGGTCTGGAAGTGGGGATATCTGGATACAAGCCCGGTTCCCCCATCTTTGGCTGTCAGACCTCTGACAAGGCACCTCGTCAGAGGAGGTGGTGCAGCTAAGTGGTGACATCTCCAAAACCAGGTGACGGCAATCCTGCTCCATCCTCTGCTGGCTGTGTTCCTGCGGTGCTTTGTAGCTCTCTGCCTCAGTGTTCTCTCAGGTACAATGGGGCTAATAGTCTAAAATGTTATGATTCTGGGGTCTTTCAACTTTGTAGTATTCTGATCAGTCATGGTGACTTGTACTGTGACGTTTTTATTGTTTTATACACTGAAGACAAGCAAGAGAGAGTACTGTGACATTTTTATTGTTTTATACACTGAAGACAAGCAAGAGAGAGTGCACAGTTTTGACCCTAAAGCATAATTACTATACAATCATATCCTCCGGAAGTGGGATAAAGACACAACTCTCCAAAATCTTATGCTTGAGGATTTTTAAACAATTTCTATTTTGCATCTAAACTGGAACTTTTTAAAGATGTAAACTATAAACACACACAGTTTGGTTAAACTACATGTGGGAAAAGAAGATGGGCGCACCAGGATATCAGAGCTTTGTGTCTTTAAACATCTGAACTACAGGATTTATTTCCTTTGTTCTAATTCTATTGTCACCAAGGCAACGTCTTGATCATTTTAATTCCTACAAATTTGGCTACAGAAAGCAAACAGGCTGACGGGGAGAGATGTGAATTTCTGATCTCTCTGACAGTTACATATATATTTTTTGTAAATTTTGTAAACTGATTTTGTTTTTTAGAAATCAGATTCCTTGCCTCAAAAGGTCAATGTTCTGAAAAAGGGATGGAGAAGAACTTTTTTGCATTCAAAGAGTCTTCAGAGGCACATAAAGCAAACAGCAATGTGGGAGCCTCAATCACATCTTGGTTAGAACAAAACAGCTGTGGAGGACAACGGGCACAATTTGAATATGGAGTGAGAACTAGATGGTATTAGGGAATTAATGTTCATTATGTTAGGTGCAGTAATGAAATGGTGACTAGGGGACATAGAGCTGCATGCTGACAGGTGGCCGGGTGTCATGGCTGCACAGTGTGTATCACTTACTTTGAAAAGCTTCCATGACATATGTATGTGAAGCACAAATGGCAAAGTGCTAAGAATTATTAATCAAATCAGTAAGTATGTAGAGTTACAATTATACTTTTTTCTATTTTTCTGATTGTTTGAAAATGTTCATAAAAACATCTTCAGAGCTACCCAGAACCTGATTTTTAGGTTTGAACTTTGCTTAGATTTTTAAACCTCTATGTTGAGTGCTGTACGCTTCATTTGGGATCTGTGGGATTCATAGAACCACAACATTAGTCCTGCCCCCGCAGCTGTCCTGGACATGGCTGGGGGCCTTGAGCCCCAAATCTGTGAACGCTGCCTGTTGCATGAAATGAGATAGGTGTCTGAGGTGGCTCGTCCAGAAGACACCAGCATGGAAATCTAATGTCCTTAGGACTTACAACCCAAAAGAAAAAAGACTAGAGGAGAAAGTTGAAGAGGGAAAAAATGAAAAAGACAATAAAACGGTAAAGGCCAGCTGCACAAACAGGTCGTCCTGCTCTCCTCCCAGGTATTTTTCCTCCCCGCTTTTCTTTGCAGAGTTGGAGGAAGATGGGCTGTGGCCAACAAAGTAATGAATAAAGAAAAATATCAGGTCATTTGTTTTTCACCATTTTTTTTTCTCTCCAAACACAGTCTTCCTAGAAGGGAATGGTCAATGGCAGAAAGGGATCATCTGATGCTTTCAAATGTTCCTTAACCTTCAGCAACAAATTCCACCTTTCTCACTGGGGCAGATACCTGCTGACTTCCTGGATAAATACTATGCTCTCTCTCTTCATCCCTCGCCACCCAATTACTGCACTGGGATTTTAAAAAGGTCAATACGATTACATGTAAGAAATCATTTTAAAGGAAAAATGCATTTTGTTCATCTGGTGCAGAACAAATTTTCGTGTAAATAAAAATATATGGTTTTAATTGACCGGGGTGAGGAGGAGTACTCAATTCTTCATAGAGCTTGATGTTTTTACTTATTTTTTTAAAAAATTATATTGAAATATTGGGGAAGGGGAACAGACAAGTTGCTGTCCTTTTGTTCTTCAGTCTAGTTGTGGAGGACGTTGCTTCACTGGACCATGTTGGTATTGTGGTCATTGTGCTCTCCCCAGCTGAGGCAGTCGGTCACCGGCCATTGGACGCCGCTCACGGCGCCTGCCGGCCACTCATGGTAGCTCACGGCAGCCCAGCTTCAGGTGGAGCTGTTGTTCACCATGTTAGCTGAAGAGGGCGCAGCGCCCCATGTTTTTACTTCTATTGTCAGCCTTCCCACTCCCTACCCCAGACTCTGTTCGGTTTTTCCGTCTCACGTTACCCGGTAGAGCACCAAGCCCCATATCACTGGGACAAAGCCCAGTGTCACATGGTGTGATTTGCGAGCCAGTCTGGAACCACAGCCCACCACGGGTAGGACTAGCCTCTTCCTCCACCCTCAAGTTCATGTCTTCTCTTGGTTTGTATATATTAGATCCAAAACAAAGGCGATTTCTATTTTTGACTCTCCTAAAATGGAAAGCCTTAGGCCAGGTCTTCTAGAAGTGGAGGGGTGGAGTCACGTGTGTGAATGGTGGACGAAGGGCTTCCAGGACGGGGGGAGAGGGGGGGGAAGAAAAGTGGGTGGGGGAGACGGGGAGGAGGCAAGAAGCCTAGCAAGCGGGCAGCGGTAGGCAGGCCCAGCCTCCGCTTGATCCTGCAGGGGGCGCTCTGGAGCATAATCCTATATCAGGGTTTGTCCTGGAAGTTAACTGGCTGGGCTCTCACACTTCTGCACCAGTACAGATGGAAACGTTTAAGCACTTGACCTCTGTGGTGGGTGTAGGGTACACCAGGCCCTGGCCCAGGGCAGCCTTCCAAAGAGCTAAAGCTGGGTTGGTAGAAGTAAGGCAAACACGGTGTGTGTGTGTGTGTGTGTGTGTGTGTGTATTGACATAGTGTACTACAGTGCAAGACCCTTGTCACCTTCCCCCAAATATATTTCTTGAGTTTAACCCCTTTTTTTTTTAATAAAAATTTGATTGTCAATTTCCCAAGTCCTCTGAATGAACCAGGTGGATTTGAATTGTTATGGTACTGAATCTACAAATGGACTTCAGTACGTTCCTTGCAAAGTTGACTTGTCTTCACTTCCCTTTGCCATATCCTCCGGAGTGCAAATTTAGAATGTTTTAGTTGCGTGGTTGAATTAAAAAGGCTGTGAGTGATTGATTGATCTCTACTGTTACATAAATGTTTAAATAATGGTATCAACATTTTGAGACAAGAACTGCAGTTAATCAGTTAAAACTCTGTCATAATACATCTGCTTAATTAAGGTTGGGGATCCAGTGACAATCCAAAAATAAACTTTCGGTTGATTCAGATAACTTTTTATTTGTTTTTTTTTTCTTTAAAAGTGGTATGTCAACATCACTTCATTTCTACATTTCAGAGCTCTGTACATTTCTTAAAAGGAAATAAGCAATGCTCAATGTACAAAGTAAAAACAGAAAACTAGAAAAATCTGAATAAAATGGAGCAAGTTGCCATAGGTCATACAGTACAAATTAGTAATTAGATGTCATCTGAAGTGCAATACCACTGCTGTGACGATGAGTTAAGGAATGAAATAAAAATACTCTATTTTAAACAAACAGTATATATATATTTATATGTATATTTTTTACAGATAGTAGACCCAGTGATATCTGCAGTATTGTAAAAACTTATTTACAAATAACTTTTTTAGACATTACATACATCAGCACCGTAGTAAAAACGAGAACAAAACAAAACCACCTTATTAAAATCTACCTTTCTATTTAGTTGGTCCCAGGGCTGAGCATTTGGAGGAAGCTTTTGAAAGATAATGGAGCCCCTCCTCCATCAGCCACCTCTAGCTTCTCATCATTGCTTATATATTTATTTCCTGTACCTTTCAGAAAAAGGTAATTATGTATTCCGTGTCTTCTCGTTTGTTTATTTTTTATTTTTTTGGTTTTCATCTGTTTTCACTCAAGAGTTTCCCTGCCATCACCTCTTCCCAGAGAAAGCACGGCCCCTGTGTGGGCTCTCATCTACCTGGCCACCTCTGTCTCCACTGCTCCTTGCTGAGTAGATCCATAACCTTAAGACCTGGAGAACAAGTCAAGTGTTTGCCTGCATGCTGCCTCTCTACATCCTCTGCCCCCAGCTTTCTGTTTGGACCCCCTTTTCAGGACTTCCCCCAGAGTGCAGCTGGTCTGGTTCTCCATGGTACCCGGCCTCGGCTCTGGTATGGCCCGCTGCACGTGACTGCACAGAAAGGGGCCAGCCTTTCGGACATGGAGGGAGGGGGCACATGCCATTCTCACTCAGGACAACAGCTATGCCACATGGCCTCCAAAACAGGACAGGTAAGTTCTTGTATTTAAGAGACGAGCCTTATGACAGTGGAGGTTGTTGTTCCTTTCCGACAGACTTCAGTCAGAGCAGATTTCAGTGAATTACAAAGAGAACTGTACAGGACTTTTGAAATGGATTATTTTACCCTTATGAAAGGAACCATATCTTCCTCCTTTTACCATCAAAAAATGTGTAAGGTGGAGCAATTGATTTTTCAGTGCCTCATCTCTCAGGGGTTTAGATTTGTCTTTCTGGTGAGTAGGGATTAAGGGCAAGGCCGCATTTACAGCATCATCCCTGGGATTTTCCCAAAGGGCGCCCAGGCGGGCAACCTCCAGGCCAGTCCTCCCTGGGAATACCAGAAGTATCAGATGCAGAGCATCAGAGCAGCCTACTCAGTTCCAGGCAGGGGCTATTCATTCAGCTCTACACACGGGAGAGGGGAACTCCAGTGTCGCCCCTGCATGTCGGGCATTGTCTAACTTCTTCTCGCACTTATTTTGACTCTGCCAGGCTCCCTAAAGACAAAGCTTCATTTCTTTTTGGACCGCCTGCGAGGAGAAGCAAGGGTGCTGGGGTGGACGCAAGGAGGGACAGGGCAGGGGTTGGGGAGAAAGGCAGCCACGCTGGCAGGCACACAGCACCCCCTGAGCTCTCCTCACTTGGTGGCGCGGGAAGAAGATGGAACTGCCGGAAGCGTCACCATTGTACTGGGCTCCCAGGAGGCTCCCCGCCGAACTACCGAGAGTGATGGGTATCGCGGTCGCCAGCAGAGGGCGCTGCCCCAAGACTCCAGGACGGGCCCTCCTCCCAGCTCACTTGGCTATCCTTGCGAGGCAGCCCACAGCAAGCCTCTAACATTTGTGAGGGTCCCCATGGGGCAGGAGACAGGCTGGTAGGATCCTTGGTAGTCTCCCTGCAGCATCTCACTTCGTGCCTGCCCTCCCTACACAGTAGCAGGTCTTGAAGCCTGACATCTCTTTTCCAGCCAGCGCTCAGGGCATTTCTGATCTGTGCTCTTAGCCTGGGCACCCAGCAGTCTCTGTGGGGCTCTCTGTGGCCCGAGGCTCTGTCTCTTGTGTCTCCAACGCCGCAGTCTCGGCGCCTGGGCCAGGAGGGGCGGGCAGATGCCTCACCTTGGGCAGCAGTCTGTCTGGGTTGGAGCAGCTTTCGCTGGGCCAGGTGCTCAGAGAGAGGGCTGAGCAGGGGGACTGATTCGTCTTCCCCACCTGCCTCTGGTGTGTCTCCCTCTCTCACAGCAGGAATCTGCAGGGCGTCTCCTCTTGACTGCTGTGTGAAAACCAGGTGAAAGGAGGCCCAGCGGGGCTGTGGATAGGCACCTGGATCTTCCACTGTCAGCCAGCTGCAGTTTTGCTCAGTTTACGTGGGTCAAAAAAACATAAAACAAGGATGGGTCCACATCCTGTTTCTTTTTCACGTTTTATGCTTTAACCACTAGAGTTGTGGCTCCTGGGGGCCCCTCTTGACTAGGGGTTTCCAAACAATTCATCAAGCTCCTGCATCCATTCATCCCCTGGCCCACCTTTGATGATGGAGTCCACGAGGTCGGCACTGTCCGAGAGGCCAGGGAACGAGGCGCCAGCTGCTTCACCACTGTAATTGTATGACATGTCCTGAGGGGGGTTCCGCTCATAGGCTTGGCCCTGGCTGCTTGGAGCAAAGCTGCCACTGGGCATCTGCTGCTGTGCTGGGGGTTGGCTGAAGGCTGGCATGCCCGGGACGCCCTGGCTTAGGCCAGACATGACCATTGGCCTGGCTTGGCTGGTCCCTTGCTGCCCCGGGAGTGGTGGCATCATCTGCCGACCCATGGCAGCCGGGTTGAGGGTTCTCACCGCGCCAGTGTTAGCGTCCACGACCTGGCTCAGTCCCTGTGGGAAGTGTTGTTTGCTCAGCCTCGGCTGGCCGGCTTGAAGTGGGTAGCTGGCGCCGTTGTTGAATGAACCTAATTCCCCACTAGTCCTCCCAGGCATGCCCTGTAAGCTCCTCTGTTGCCAGCTCTGGGCTCCCTGCTGGACCGTTCCCATAATGCTCTGCAGCCTTGGAGGGCCTTGGGGCCTCGGCAAGGCCTGGCCTACCGGCCCTTTCATCTGCTGGTGCTGCTGAGTCATGGTTGAGTTCACCAGCATGCTCTGACCAAACCCACTCACCATCCCGACCCCTTGCCCGGAGGCAGGTTGCCTCGGCCCCTGGGCTTGGTTGTGTGTGATGCTCATGCCACTTTGGTTTGGGTGCTGCAACATTTGGGTCATTCCTGTGCTCATGCTGTACATTCCTGGTTGGCTGGTAGGCGTGGTGTTATAAGGGGCCAGTCCCATCTCTGACTGGGCAGTGGCTGTGGCCATTGTCCCTGGGTTCTGGGAAGGTCCCATTCCCATCATGCCTGTATTCTGTGCCATCAACCGTGATGTTCGCATGCTCTGAAGGGCTGCTTGGTTTCTCGCAGCTGCTATATCCTGCGGAGAACCTGCAGGGAGAGAAGGACACGCACCACTCACTCTTCTCAATAGGCAATGTATTGCAACAAAGTGTTGGAATTTTCTTTGAGAGTGACAAAATTCTTTTATATGAAAGGATCTACTCTGATAATAAATCCTTGATAAAAAACAGTTATTATTTTTCTGCTTATAACATAGGCTGATTGTGAAAAATTTGGAAAACACTGAAAAGCACAAAGATGAAAATCAGAGTCACTCAAATTCTCACCCTCCAGAGATGACCACCGAGAGCTACTATTTATATATAGACACACACACATACACAAATTGGGATCATACTGTACACATGCTTTCATAGTTGATTTTTTCACTTGACTACCTTGATTTTTTTTCACATTTCAGAAGCAAATTTTTTCTCACTCTTCTTGATATGATACCCTCCTCAACCAATTAGATACCATGTTTCTTGGAGGTGAGAGTGAAATTTGCCTCCTAGGCTAAATTAAGAAGAAATGGCAATTGCATATTCTATTTGTGAAGTGGAACATGGTTCAGTAGAGAATACTATCAGTAAAGACCATTAGACTAATTTCCCTGAAGACTTGAGTAGGATTTGAGAGGTTAAAGGCCATTGCTTCTGCTAAGGAGTATTTCGACAGATGCGACATTTTTTGGACCCACTCCGTCGATTTCCACATGCTCCAGATTTTCTGAGTCATAACATGTCAGTGCAAACTGGCCTGCTTCCTGAGCTAGAAAAAGAAATTACGTATCCTGCTACTTGCTACTTGGCAATGAACTTATGGCTCTCTCCAGCCAAGTCCAGTCCTTGAAATCGGCAATGACTACGTCTCTCAGCAGATTGCTAACACAGTTTTAATGATGCTGTTTAAAAGTTGGCCAGAGTATGAATGTGCCAAGTCACTCCACTCTAATTAGGCATCTGAGTGAGTCCTTCTTTCCATGTTCCCAGGAAATCTCCAAACCAGCCAGGAGAATAGAAATGTCACCCTTAGAACCCCAGTCAATGCTGTAAAAAACTAGGAGGTGCAAGAAATGGATTTTTCTATGTCCCTGCTAATGATTAAGTCTATGAGACAAAGAAAAATAGTTTTTTTTTTCTTGGACATTTAAAAAGGATGCAGCATGGGAGCCAATCGATATCATAAGCAAATTTGATCCTCCCTGGAACTGAGATGAGAAACCAGATGAGAATACCGTAACCTTGTTAAGCCTGGCACCTTGGCAGATAACCGAAGTGTGTTTTTGTCTTCCTGATGGGGGTATTGATTTCTGGGCAGCAAATGTGTCTCCATATATTATTTCTTTCTTTAAGAAAGAAAATTATGGGAATGTTGATTATGACTTTAACTTTTTGAGGCTTGAGATCAATATCATGCTGCATTGAAACATGAAATGGTTACTGTGGGGAAACTTGAAAGATCTGGGAGAGATTCCTAGAAATGTTTCCATTCTTTTTTTTTTTTTAAGCTTAATTACATCTAAGTGATTTATTTAAAAGAAATCAAAAGTTCCTGATTAAATACTGGATGGTAGTATACAGTGCAACTTATAATCTCGTTATGAAGTTTTGTGACCTTAACCACTAAATTTGTATCGACTGCACGGCCAATCTGATCAACGGTGCTGAAATGGATTATTGAGTTGTTTATTTAAAATTTAAGGGAAAAATATTGCTGATTCAGAGACTGGTCAGATAGACCCAAATTACACAAACAGGCTGATGGGCTGCTGGAAATACATAGAAAGACTATAATATTTTGTACATTTGTTTTGTAGGTTTAAAATGGACATGCTGAGGGACTGGATATTGTCCAGACTAAGTTTTTAAATGAGAAATAGTTTCCTTTATTAAGAGGGCAGAAATGCTGCAATGGCTTTTAAGAGGTATTAAAATAAAAGATTAATCCAAGCCATCTTTATTTTCACTTAGTGTAAATGACTGCATAATCTAGGTGTAATTCTTATGAGAAAAAAGGGTGTTTTAAAATCAGCAACCATATTTTCTACCTAAGAAAAACAAAAAGCCTTTTATGAATCTAGTTTTATGCCTTCACTAATTTTAAATACACAAAGGAAAAAAATTCAAATGTGTCCAAAGGATCAATTTGCCTTTATCTGATTCCTACATATGTTAAACAACAGACTATTTTTTCTTATTTTTGTCTAAAATAGATAGTATTGTGAGACACCATAGTCAGATTAATTTTCTTGTCTACTGGTTGACATCATAATGTCAAAGAAAATCTTCCATGTTCAAATAGGAGATGATAATATGTAATTTTTTCCCTAAAAGGTTCTATGTTCTATCTTCACTCAAAGATGTCTGTATTTGTGAAAAACAAGCATTTCCTCATAGGCATGTAACATTGCCCAGAGGCACAGAACTCAGTAAGAGAGAGAGAGTCATTAAAGCCTTTGAGATGTGTTAAGGTTCTCATGCAAGGTATTCCTACCAACACTTATCTCCAAAAACAATATTTCTTATTTATCAATTTGCTATTTTCCCAGATACATAATGTTGTGCTATCTCGGGTGTTACTAGAAATGAAAACACTAAAGATAGTAAATATATAGATCTCTCAATCAGCTCAGGAACCCTAAAAGGTCACTGGCTATTTAGCTTAAGTGTAGTGAAATTTTTAGGTTGATTACCTGTGCTTTGGGGTTTTAGAAAAGTTTAAAGAGTAGAACTTTTAAAGTGAAACCAAAGCATTCAGAATAACTCATACTACAGAGGAATTATTCAATTTTGGTGGGTCCCTTTATTCCAAAAAATAATAAATGAGTTATGAACCTAGAAAACTCAAGGGACACTAAGTTGGGTTTATTAGATTTCATGTTTTTAATTAGTTCATAATATGAAGCACCAGTTCTCAAAGTGTGGTCCTCAGGCTGGCAGCAGCAGCAACTCCTGGGAACTTTTTTAAAATGTCAGTTCTCAGGTCCCACTCCCGACCTACAGAATGACAAGCTCTGGGTGGGGGCGGGGCCGTCTGTGTTTTAAGAAGCTCTGCTGGGGACTCCGATGCAGGCTAAAGTGTGACAACTACAGGAATAGAGGGGTGCTCTGTGTCTGCAACAAAGACGATCCATGTAGCAAAGACTATTTCTGCTCCTCCCCACCCATGACCAAGTGAGAAACATAATTCTTCAAAGAATATTGGCACTGATTTAGGGCACAGAACACCTGAGGACAGCCCCGTGTCTTTTGTCCTTTTCCATGTCAAGTCCAAAGGAATCTGAAGTGATATAAATGTCCCAGGGATGGGAGGAAGGGAGCAGTAGCTACTCAAAAGCCGGTGTTTTCACAGGCTTTCTGTGAGATCTGGCAGTGAACACCAGTGGCTTTTAGATCTTTAAACTGCAACTTACAGTACCCGCTTCAGTATCTACACATGCGGGTTTGGAACAAAAACAAAAGTTTCCCTTGTTGATACACTCGGATAGTTTCTTTTCTATCATATTTCGTTTTAAACATGTTAGTTGTGGCTTATTAAATTGTCTTCACAACCTACTTGTGTACTGCAACCCAAACACTGAAAAATGCTACCCTAGATCATAGACTGGGGGTAAAACAAAATTTATGTGGGGTGGGAAACATTGTGAAATGATGTACAAAGTTCATATATATTTTTATATATGCATATTTCTGTGTAAGGAGCTTCATAGCTCCTGACACATTCTCAAAGCGTAGGTTACCCTTGAGAAGTTGGGACACATTGATCTATGTCCCATGAAAAGGGTAGGGATCAGGATTAGGGTTTCTGTTGTTAGGTGACCCCCTATAGACTCCCGAGAACGCCTATGGATGAGACTGGGAAAGGCCCCCAGGCCCATCCTCCACCCCATGCAGGACCCTCAGGGGCTCTCCCTACTGGAGATGGAAAGGTTTTGACATTTGAGTGGACCTTCTACTTTACAACAGAACAACAACCTTCAGCATACGGTGTGTGCCCGTTGCTACTGGGGCCATGATTTGGGATTTCTGCAAGGAGCAGCAGGATCAAGACAGTCCAACCATCCACAAAGCCTTGTTTGTTTTCCACATTCAGTAGAGATTAGTGGTTGCTGCAAGCCAGATTCTTCCACTTTGGCTGTTGGAAGTGAAGGCCTTGGCCAGCTGACCGGCTGGGATTAGCAAGAAAGACATGGTACAGGATTTTTCCTCTTGTGGTCACAAGGCTGATATTGGACCAGCAGGCCCTTATTGGTTGTTGAACGATATTGAAATGCTTCAGTACCTTTGGCAAAGATCAGCTGCCTCAGTCCCACCTCCACAGTCACCCTGACCCCTCCCTGGGGCCACCAAGACCTCTCTGGGACCCAGTGACCAAAAGGAGGCCCCCTGCTGTGCCAGGCATTAACCAAGAATGCATTCTGATTGATTGGTACCCTCCATTCTTACACCTTTAATATTACCTGACATGAACATAACGCATCAGGCAACTGGCCATGCATTCACTACGCTTCCCAACTGGAGAGGTATGCACGGGCCTCACCTTGAAACTGATTGACCTGCTGCACTGGGTAGGGATTCCGCTGTGGCTGAAGGTGCTGCCGGGGTAAATGTGATTGCTGCAACTGCTGGAACGACAGAGGACAAGAAGGGCAGAGGTGAAATGGGGACAGAGCATGTAGTTAAATATCCTGCGGTTCTGAGGAAGGCGCATTTTTTCCCCCCAAAAATAAACCTTGTATTGAAGGATAATGTGCATACAGGCAAGTGCACAAAGCAGAAGTGTCCAGTTTGATGGATTTGTCACAAATGAACACACTCCTGGTCACCAGCATCGAGATCGAGACACAGCACATTGTCAGGAGCCCCTTATGCCCCTTGCCAGTCATTACCCTTCACCTGACCCCTAACCCAGCAACACAGATCAGTTACGTCTGCGTTTGTACTTTATCTAAGTGGATTTATACAACGTGCTTGTGTCTGGCTTTGGTGTCTGGTTTCTTGCGTTTATTATATTTGTGAGATTCAGCCATGTGGCTGTGTGTAGTTGTGGTCTGTTCATTCTCACATGTTGAGGAGTATTCCGTCACATGAATACACCACAGTTAATTTACCTGTTCTACTAGCGACGGCCCTTTAGGGTGTTCCCAATGTGGGGCTGTCCCTACTACCGCGGCTATGAACTCCCCTCTCCATGCCTTTTGGGTGAATGTCCGAGGCATTTCTGATGTGTGGACTTGCTGGCTTGTGAGGAATGTGTACAGAGCGAGGCAGTTTTCCCTTTGACTTTCCAATATCAGCCTGCATGCTCTCCTTCACGCTGTGGAGACCGAGCTCAAAGGGACAGCAACTAGTTCTTAATGACCTAAATAGATGCTTCAGGTATAGGAGCATGGGCTTCTCGGAGGCTATAAAAAAAGGCTAGTCTTATTCCCATGAAGCCAGGCTGCCTGTCAAATCCATCTCGACAAGTCACATAGACAGCATGTACTTCCTCCAGGAAACCGAGAGGCCTGCGTTTTAGTCTTCCTCCACTCACGGGGACCCTGCACTGCTGGCGCTGTTACCAACATCCTAGAAAGGCTATTACGATCATTATCATGCTGTATGCGAAACGCAAGACAAAATAAGAGTGAGGTGGAGAGAACAGAGAGGGGTCTTAGTTCTCAGTCTGCTGTCAAGTAGCTGAGTGACCTTAGGCGTGTCATTTAACCTGCGTCTGTAGCTGCTGCATATTCATTGAGCACCTTTCATCTGCGAGGGCTACAAAGAACATACAACAAGGGGCCTGCTCTTTACAGTGTTCATTATAAAAATAACACACAGTGGCCACTTCTTAACACATGTGCTTATTTCTATTTTTTTCTCTTGTTTTTGTTCTTGGGCAGCTCTGTAATTTTCTTTCTTTCTTTTTTTTTTTTCCCTTCGACAAGGCCTGTCGACGAAAGAAAAGAACAGCTTCCTCCCTGTGCACCCTATTCAGTGGTGCTTACCAGGGTGTTTTGCACAAACTGTTAACATTAATTAATTGTGTAGATAAAGTGTAGACAAGAAACCATGCTAATCTTTTACACAGCAATGTAACGGCATTACTGAAAGTAAGCCGAGCACTTAAAAGCTTCTCCCCAGCTACATTCCCCATACCATGTAAGAACTGAACTGTCCCACTGGGAATACACTGTGGGGTAGCCTGTGGTGGGGTGGGGCGGGGCCTCCTGTGGTGGGGTGGGACCCGGCCACTGGTCAGGAGTCAGGAGGCCCTGAATGCAGTGCAGTCCCGGCTATGCCTCTCTCTCATTCTGTGATCTCAGATCAAGCCCATCAGCTCCTGGCCTCAGTGTCCGCATATGTAAAATGAAGGTACTTGATGATCTCTAATGTTTCTTTCAGCTGGTAAGTCCTAGGTTCTGTGGAACCTTTGTGAATGGATGGGAGGTGACATGCCCTGCGCTCTTTGAGAATAAGGCATTAAATGTTACGTCACACCTGCTTTCAACCAGCTCTGTTCTGATTTCTAGGTCCACTGAGAATCATTTTAAAGTTCCCAAAGATCAGCAAGATTCCACATCCTTCTGTTTACCCTCACATGGCCTTTCAGGAAACCCAAGTGTCTCCAATACGCTGTTTACAAAATTGAAAGTGTGAGGACACTGTCACTGCTGCAGCAGAGACCAGGAAACCCAGCTTGACAGTGATATGCCAATATTCATTCTCCAACAAAAAGGTGACAGCCCACCGCTTGTACACCTTACACAGCCTGCGTCAGGCAGCACTGTCTCCGGGCGCAGGTAAGATGCTACGGAGACATGAGATTTTTCAGCGCAGTCTCCCGGTTTCACTTCCGGGCTAGTCCCACAGGATGGCGGACACGTGTTGCTGCAGCTATTCTGTGACACCTGGGTTATGTGACAGGTTCCCATATACATGTGTGCAGTTTCCGAAGAGTTTTACACACAGTACCTCATGTGATCCTTACAACAGCCATATGAGGAAGGCTGGGAAATTATTAAAACCTCTCCCCTCATCTGCCAGATTAGGTTAAGTGGTTTTCCTGAAATCATACCACAAGGCAAAGATTGGACACATTCTGAGCTCGAGTGAATTGTTCTTTCCTTGATCCCTCATCATCTCTTGGTACATGGCTGTTTCTCATTTCCCCATCTTTTCCAAGGAGCCCTGTACTTCTCTGCATTCTGGATGAGGGGTCCCCCACTCGCTCATCTCCTAGTCTGTGGGTGTCACCCTGTGGAAGCTTTCCTCCCCCTCTTCTGCCTCCTCCTCATTCCCAGGGTTGGCTGACCTCGCCCCGTCGGGCACACCCCTGAGCTGGCATAGCCTAGTTCTGCCTGGTTACCCTGTCTCTGTTTTGTGTCTTAGTCACAGCACACGTATCTAAAGCCATCACTCAAAGTATCAGGCACACCTGACATCCCCTGGGATTGGCTGAGGAGAAGCCTTACAAAGCCCAGCCTCCGCTCGGCAGCTCCATTCATCACTGCCTGAGGGACATTAGCGAGGTTCCTTGTCACACACCTTATGCAGGGTGAGAGGGAGAGAGGTTTGTTTGTGCAAGAGCTGCCAGGCAGCTGACTGACCTTGGTAAAAAGGGAGATAATTACACAGCTGTTCAGGATCCAAAGCAAAAAAGGGAACATAAGTGAACTGTGCTCAATGGTACAATTTTTCTATTTGGACGATGATAACTGGTGTTACTTTGAACTGCTGTTCTTGGTTAGAAGACTCTAGTAACATGCCTGTGTCTCAGTGTGGGAGGATGCTTGAGAAATTTCCAAAATGACGATTCTGTCAGGAGCAGTCTAGAAGCATAACTGAGGCAGAGCTCTGTTGGGCCTTGAGCCTTAGATGACAACCTCACACCTCCTACAATACAAGAGTGAGATGCTCTATGCAGACCCGCACAGGAGCCGTCTAGGGATCTCTTGTGGAAGGCCTCAGGCCTTTCCTCGGATAGTCCTAGCTTAGGCCTGGGCATCTCGAAAACAAAAAAAACAAATCACCCCAAAAAGAACCACACTGAAACCTCCAAGTGCAGCCTGCAGGGAAGGCTGTCTTTTAAAGCTGGAGGAATCATATGGCGAGGGTGGATAAAGACGCCTAAGGTGAGGCTTTATTAGTGTTAGGCCTCCCTTTAACTTCAAGATTTCCTGAGCTGTTTTAAATGCTGCTGGGATTCTATTAAATTTGCCCCCTTTCTGTGACCCCAAGTTCAGGTTTGCAGGTAGTTCTGTGGGCCCTATTATTCTGCTATTGTTCCTGTTCCATTGTTCCTGTTCCTGTTCCTGTTCCATTGGTTATTGTTCATAACCAATTCTGCAGAATTCTCCTCAATCCTTCCTCCCAACACTTTCTTTCAAGAGACAAAGTTCTCCGAATCATTTTCTTTTTTCCTCCCTGCTACAAATGGCTCGAGTTGGGGAGAATGGGAGGCAGCCCTCCTCACCCCCGTGCCGATGACGCAGACCCCTGTACCAGAAACCAGGAGAAAAGGAGTCAGGCTTGAACGGACGATACATCTTAGGCGTCAGCCATCAGTGTGAAGGCCCATTTGCCCAGTCTTTTAAGAACAAACTAATTCATTTTGAGGAAAAAAACCCCTAAGTCACTGAAAGGTCTAAATCCGGTGGGTTCTTTTGCGATTCCGGGAAGCTCTAGACCTCGGACAAGCACTGGACAAGCACTGGAACTCCCTCACGGACACCCCAGGCGCTGAATAAATGCTTGCTGAGTGAGTGAATCCCGCCATGGACCCCTGTTACCTGTTCGGCCAGAATCTGCTGTTGCTGCTGCTGCTGCTGCTGTTGCTGCTGCTGTTGCTGCTGCTGCCTCTGCTCCCGCAGGAACTGTTGCTTCTGCTGCTCCATCAGCTGGGCCCGCTGATCAATGAGCATCTGCTTCATGATGGCCGCCTGGGGCTGGCTGCCCAGGAAGCCGGGACCCGCGGGACTGGTGCCTGAGACCATGCTGCCTGGGCCTGGGGGCACAGAGGACTGCATGGGGCCAGTGGTCCGGGGAAGCCCAACCGGGTGCTGCTCCTGGGAGGGCAGGAAGAGGAGAGAATGCAATGATTCCACATGTAAAGGGAAGCACCGGGGAAGCTGAGTGGGGCGGAGGCCCTGGCTGTGGACCCCAGGGGTTCTGAGTGGCACACATTCTATTTCCCTACAAACAATCCAGTAGACCTCACAGGTGGCCTGATCACAGGAGAATGACAGAAGCTGTAGGAGAAGGTCATAGAGAAAGGCTCTGGGAATCTGAGACCAAGTCTAGCCTGTTTCCGATGGGACTGATTAAGGGACAAGGGTGTTCAGCTAACATTCTGCATTCCCCCAAAGGAAAGGCACTAAGCCCTTTCTTACTGGGCTCACCTTCAGTCTGGAAGGAGGCAGTGTGACCTTACCTCTTAATCCTTACTGCTGACCTGGCCAAAATGGACTTTATCTTAGGTAGTAGGAGAGACACTTAAGGAAGATTGCTGGAATTCATACAGATCTGCTGTTTGATGGAATTCCAATTACAGATGAACCTTGAACAAAATGGGGGTTTGGGGTGCTGACCCCTGTGCAGATGGAAATCTGCATATAACTTTAGACTCCTCCAAAACTTAACTACAGCCTTCCCTTGATATCTGTGGGGAATCGGTCTAGGACCCCCCATGGAGACCCAAACTCAGGAATGGGCAAGTCCTTCCTATAAAAAGGCATAGGTCAATGCATACAGTTGGCCCTCCACATCCACGGATTCCAAAAATTCTGTTTTTGATCCGCAGTTGGTTGAATCCGCAGATGTGAAACCCAGGGATACAGAGGGCCAACTGCATATTCATTGAAAAAAAGTGACATATACGTGGACTTGCGCAGTTCAAACCCATGTTGCTCAAGGGTCAACTGTAATTGCAACATTTGAAAGCGTTGATAAATGTAAAAAAAAAAAAATCCCGCTGGTCAGAGTTGATGGTGCAAAATGGGAATATGTTACACTGCCCACAGATATGTAATCTCCCAACATCTTCAAAAACAGAACTGAGTCTGGCATGTCTGGGATAATTTAAATGTGGGGTGTTGAACTGGGTCTCTGGATTCTGTAATTATGTGTCAGTCATTCAAATGATGGCAACTTTTAAGGACCCGGTCCTTAAGGAATAGAAGGTAAAGTGGTAGGTAGAGACCTATTTACAACACAGCCCACGTGACTACTTAAGATTGGGCTCAGAAGGGAAGTCTGTAACAGCTGGACAGTGTAGACGACTAGGGAAAAAGAGCTGATGTAAAGAGTAGGTGTATGACCAGAAGATTTAGTTTCTAGACACTTCCTTTCCTGTTCCTTCTAGCAAGCACAGCTGGTAATGGGAAGCATTGTCTGAACATTCTGCAGAAATGGTCCTTTCAGTTCATTCAAGTTTCAAGTAATTAATTCCCACTCCACCACCCAAACAAAACAGGCAAAACAACAACAACAAAAAACAAAAAAAAAACCCCCCAAAACCATTACTCCTCTCACACCTGAAACAAGAGTCCAAAGAAGTTCTGGTTAGTTAGTGCAGTAGCCCAGGTCACACAGTTACGAAATGGAAGACCCAGAATTAGCAAAAGTAGAACACTGAACTTGAGTCTAAGTTTGCATTCTTTCTACCAGAACAGGACTTTCCCAGGCTACAGGTCCGTGGTGCCAAGTGTGCACCTATTTGTGCAATTGCCTGTAGACAAAATATACAATATGTCTCCCATAAACGTACTGTGTTCTATTTTTCGAATGTGTCATTGCTGAAGTCCATTTGTGGAGAAAAGACAAAGTTTTATGAACAATTATTAGGTAGAGAACTATGTAATGTTACCAGTTTACTTTTAGACTAACCCCTGCAGGGGCCAAGATATTTTAGTCTCACTTTGATAAATTCACACTGAAATATAGTTAACTGCTCAGCAAAAATACAGATATACAGGGCTTTCCTTCTGTGTATCTTGGTATATTTATTTTCCAGTTTTGATAAGGAGGACAGTGGGAAAGAAAATGAGACCCAAGGGAAGATAAAGTTTTCTTCAGCTTGATTTTATGAGCGGGCTGGTCTGGGCTGGCCCTGTTTATTTTTGCACACTTTGAGATATTCTTGTCCTGTGTGACCTGGCCGGGTAGCTGGAGCGCATGCCCACAAGTGGTAAGTAGTGACTTGCTTTCCCAGCTTTCTCTCTGCCCGGTGACGATTTTGATACACGTCCAACCAGTTTTGGCCCTGTCTTGCTACAGCAAAAAGAAATACTTCAAAAACACAGTGTGTGTGTGTGTGTGTGTGTGTGTGTGTGTGTGTGTGTGTGTGTGTGTGTGAGAGAGAGAGAGAGAGAGAGAGAGAGAGAGAGAGAGAGAGANTGTGTGTGTGTGTGTGTGTGTGTGTGTGTGTGTGTGTGAGAGAGAGAGAGAGAGAGAGAGAGAGAGAGAAAACCTTCCCAAAGGGATACTTAGGTTATTACTTCCCAGGATATTTCCCCAAATGATTTCTTCCCAAAGGTTTTGCCTCCAGGTTTCTCACTGAAGACCTGAAGACGTGGAGCCAGGAGGGTTATATGCATTTTTAAAGGATTGCCTTCCATACCTTTAGGACTCTCCCAACCAGCTCAGCTGCATTCAATAGCAGGTGAGTGACACCTAGGGCCCCAGCCTCAGGTGTGTATTCCAAAGCGAGAAGATGCACCAAGCGACTCACCTTACACACTGAGCTGGCTGAGCCATTAACTGTTTCATATTACATGGTGGCTTTTAACCTCCAGTCTAAGAGGGCTTAATGAGCAATAGTTTGTCAATTTTCAGGCCACTGCTCTTGTTTCTAAGCAGGACACACAGTGTGTGTGCAATTAGAGAAAACCAGGCTGAGCTTTCGTCACCAGAAATGTAATGCCTTGAAGTCAAATGATGCAGTATTTTTAGTTTTAATTACTGGCTTCTTCCTTGCCCAGTGACCTCCCTTGCCTTCTCCCAAGAATCCGCATTCAGTCTCTTCTCGTCAGAAACCCAAATGGCTACATATATCTTCATTACTCCCCAAACTTCTCACTCTTCAGTAAAATAAAGGAGGGAGGGAATCAAAAGCAATGAACGGATTTTACATATTTCCTCCTTCAGGGAGAAGATCTTAGCAATTTTCTAAGGGCTGGGGAGAGGTAGGAGGTGTAAGAAACACCCTACCTCCCCAAATAAGCAGTTTTCTATTTCAAAAAGCAGCTGTGGTAAAAATATCTCCCAAGAGCAGCCAGCTGTTTATTTATAAATCTGTGCGCAGGGAAGCTTTATTTCTCTTAAGTGTTTTCAAGAACATGCCTAGTGTTTGGGTGAGAGGGGCTGGGGTTGCTGGCTGCGAGCCAAAGATCGCTGGCTCGTAGGCGTGGGGATCACAAAAAGCTGATGAGACTGGGGTGACGGGGCTTGGTGGCTAAGTGTCTTGATGGAGGATGGACGCCCAGGGCTTGAGCCTTTTTCAGGCGGTCCCCGTCGGGGGGAAACAGGGAACAGCTGCTGTTCCTCCTCTGCCCCAGCAGATGGTGGTGTCGGCCCGAGCCACGGGCTTGCGTCCGCCCGCTCCGCCCGCGCCGCAGGTCCCCCGCCCCTCCGCTTGCAGATGGCTTAATCATGACTCCCGTTCCTCCCCCAGCCCGGCCCCCGCCCCGCGCGTCTGGGCGACGCTGCGAACGTGGAGCCAGGCAGTCAAGTGTTACTGCGTACAGCAGGTAGCCTGGCAACTGAGAGCCTAATACCGAGCAGATGGTGTTCGCACGGCGTGATGGACATCACACACGACAGCCTGAGACAATCCAGGAATTCCCTGGTGACTCGAGGCCCTCTTTACACAAAATGAGTTCTCTCTCCATGGCCGTGTATCTCTGGGGTGATCTCCCCCCACCTCTCCACTGACACTGAACTGGTTTCTTATTACCGACGTTCCTTCCAGCCGGCGGGGAGGGAGGTTGCAGGGGGTGGGCTGGGGGAGGCCGTGCAAGGAAACGGAAGGGCTGGAAGCGGGAGGAGATGGTGCCGGGAGGTGGGGACCGGAGAGGGGGGGGGGAAGGGGCGTAAACCAGACCCCGGAGAACCTTCCGAAAGGACAGGGTCCCCCGGAGCCCCGGCTGCACAAAGCCGGCGCGGAGGGGCGCGCCTCTGTTGCCTGTGCAATCGCGTGGCCCACGAACAGCCTAAATGAAATTTAGGATTTTACTTAAAAAGTCCCCTGGGGCGTAATTTAGCCTCTCGACTCGAGCCTATATGCTTACAAGTCCTTAGGGGACTCTTAAAGGAGTCAGGAGTGGGGCTGGCGATCCCGGCAGGCCGGAAAACGCCTCTCCGCGCAGGCGTCCCTAACAAAGGAACCGTGGAGGTGGCCCCGGGCGCGGGCAAGGCGGCGCGGGGGGCGGGCGAGCCGCCCGGGGGCCCCGGGGTCCGCGGCCCGCGCGCGCTCGGGGGGCGCATCTCCCCGCCACCGCCACGCCTCCTGTGCCAGTGGCTGGGGGGGGGGGTTGTGGGGAGAAGAGGGTTGTTGCTGGTAGGTAAAAGTAATCCATCAATATATAAACAAATAGGATGTCTCTGAAAAGCACGGATTTTCTTCTTTTCTCACACACTGAACTGGATCGAGTAATTCAATAACAAATTACATCAATTTCAGCCCAAACGGAGTTTTGCCTACATTCTACATACACATCGAGAGATTTCTATGGCCAACCTCTCACCAGCGTCCAGAGGTTTTTCCCCTGCGGAGGTACTATTCAAGTTTTGTTTCCCAAGGGGGAAGTCTTTTCAAAGGTGGAAGCTAACGTTTCATGCAGAACATCACACTTGCTGGGAAAGAGTTCAGCAGTTCCTTGTCGGAGATCAGCATGGGATGAATCCACTGCCGGCTGGGTGGAGGCACCTGGCTGGGGCTCCCAGGGCTCAAGGTGGTGAACTGGCATTATGTGGCTCGGGGACGCCACCTGATCCCTCGGTCTCAGGACCCATCCCCGCAAATGAAAATCATATTCCTAAGACTCTCCTTGACAGTGGAAACTTTGGA